TGATCTAGTGCAAAAATCATGAGGATTCATGAGGATCCGTGCTTCGGAACCACGTTTTTGGGCCAGGGAGTGGCCAGGCAGGTGTGGATCCGAGTTTTTTGTGGTGTAGGCTGTGCCCCTTACTATGATATGTGATTTGACGGTGAGTTTGGGTTGGCCCGATAAAGAAAGCGTGTGGATCCATGAAGATCCGTTCTTGAAAACCACGTTTTTGGGCCACGGTTTCGCCAGGAAGCCATGGATCCGTGATTTTTGTGGTGGATGCTGTGCCCATGGCCATGATGTTTGATCTGATGGTGACTTTGGGTTGATCTAGTGCAAAAATCATGAGGATTCATGAGGATCCGTGCTTCGGAACCACGTTTTTGGGCCAGGGCGTGGCCAGGCAGGCGTGGATCTGAGTTTTTTGTGGTGTAGGCTGTGCCCCTGGCTATGATGTGTGATTTGAGGGTGAGTTTGGGTTGGTCCAATGCAAAAAGTGTGAGGATCCATGAGGATCTGTTCTTGAAAACCACGTTTTTGGGCCATGGTATGGCCAGGAAGCCATGGATCCGTGATTTCTCTGGTGGATGTTGTGCCCCTGGACATGATGTGTAATTTGAAAGTGAGTTTGGGCTGATCTAGTGCAAAAATCATGAGGATTCATGAGGATCCGTGTTTTTTAACCATGTTTTTGCGCCATTGCGGCACCACGAAACAGTGGATGCGTGATTTTTTTGGTTCCTCCTACAGACTAAGATGTGGTCTACAGTAGCATGGTGTTTTTATTTTGTTTCAATATAAAAATCATATGAATTCATGAGGATCCGTGCCTCGGATCCATGTTTTTATGGTGCTGCAGCGCGGCAAAGTGTTGGATCCACGTTTTTTATAGTCCAGTTTGTAGGCGTGCCTTCCATGTGTGATTTGACACTGCATTTGTTGGAATAATTTTTTAAAAAGTGGAGGATCCATGAGGATCCGTGTAGATCCGCCTTTTATGCAGACCCCAAAAACACAAAGCATGTGGGAGTTCTCTCTCTGCAGGCAAATTCAAACTGCAACTTCTCCTTTTGTACTCATCACCAGCTGTAGCTCTTCAGCCTAGAAAACCACAGCCAGAATCGCAGAAAAAGTTCTTAAAGTTACAATCATCTTTTCTGTTTCTTTGCAGAATGACTCCTAAAATAAAAAACCACCAATTCATGCCATGCCTACTTTGGACCTGAGAATTAAAAAGAAAATTTCCCAAGAAGAATCCACAGCTACTTCTCCCCCTCAAGATCCAGGGATCTCCTACCTTGTATTCCTCCAAAGCCTCTTCCAGAGGAATCACCTTGTGATTTTCATGTTCCTTTGATTTGTCACACACCAGGCAGATGGGGGCTTCGTGGACTTTGCAGAAGAGCTTCAGGGGCTCCTGGTGCTTCTCGCAGACTCCTCCTTTCCCTCCTTCCTCCTTTCCCTCTTGAAGGCTGAGATTCTGGGCTATTTCTACGAAGTTTGCCAGTTGCCGGTTGGGGATGAGGCTCCTTCTCTGGACTCTTTCTCTGCACTGAGGGCAGGAAGCCTCTGCCTCCGATTCCCCCCAGCACTGGATCAAGCAGGATCGGCAGAAGTTGTGCCCACACTCTGGGATGGCCACTGGATCCTTGAAGTAATCCAGGCAGATGGAGCAAGTGGCTTCATCGTGGAGACGCTGGATGTGACCCCCTGCATCAGCCATGGCTCCTTCGCTCTGAAGACCAGAGTTAAGTTTCGTTTTCTCTGTTTTCAGGCACTGGGAGTTTCCCTTCCTGGAAATGACTCAGAAACTCAGTAACCACGTGATCTTTTTCTTTTCCTTTTTTTTAATGTCCCCAGGTCTTTGCATTTGCTGAATGTTTTCTCAAGTAGCAGCGAATGCTCCTTCCCATGCTTTTGTTTACACACAAACACAGACGTACCTAGTAAGTTCTGGTATTCCTAACATTTTAATTCGCAGGCTTCCTTGGCATTTTTGAATTGGAGAACATCTGCTGCTGCCCTAAATGGACAGGAGTTCTGATTTAGCAAGCGGGACTTGATTCCGTGAAGAAAACTCCTTAATTGCACATTTATTTAAAACCATAACAAGTGGACCCTTGTAGTGAAAAGCCATTTATCCAGCCTGTTGGAGCAATAATGTCTCCAGAAACAGGAACGATATTCCATAGAAGAGGGGCAGCCATTCTCAAGGCCCTGCTCAGAGTCACTGTGCAAAAGGGCTTCTGAGATTTTTGGGGTGTGCAGGAGAGACACTCCCACAGACTGCAGGGATCTCGTGGTGTATAAGGCATAAGCCCCTCTCTGGTTTTTGGTATATGAGACCTTGAACTTGGCCCAGGAGCTGACTGGCAGCCTGTGGGAATTTCGCTAGCAGGGTGATCAGCACTGGCGGTCATTTGTCCCCACAAGCATTTTGACTTTCTGCGCCGTCTTTTGCACAAGCCATTCCACTAGGGAAACTAGGATGCGGCTGAGGGACTTTGGCTTAGGGCAGCATTGACTTCCTCCCTGTGTTTCAGATGCTGTCTCAGGGGACAGCCACCAGGCCCCTTGAGACAGATGAGGCTTCGCCAGACAACTCCCAGAGACAAAGCTACATGGATTGAAATGAGACGGGGACCAGCTTTAATTTTTAAATGTTTATTGGGTAAAACTCCCGCAGGAAAGGGAGGCATTGGGAGGTCTTCCAGAGGATTTTGGCGGGTTCTTCAGGGTGAGGGAATGTCCTAACTGGAGATCAGACACCCAGAACACCTCCCTCTGTGCCCTGTTTCTGTCAACTTGGCACTTGAATGGGATGGACATCCTGTTTTCCTGAGACTCTGAAGAGCCTTCCTTGTGTGGCGGAACGTTCTCCCCCTCTCCTCTCCCCAAATCTGTTCTGGGGTTCCCCCCTGACCTTCCCTGGCAGATCTGGGTGTGCAGGAAGGGGAGGAAGAGGACAAAGTCTCATTGTGCTCAGGGCAGTCTTAAGCATATGCAATGCCGGGATGCAAAGATCTGCCCAGCGCCCCCCCCCCCCCGCTTGCCCAGAGTTGTCGACTTTTTTTTAGGTCCACTCAGGAAACCCAAACAGAAGAGCCTGCCGCGGTGCTCCAACGGGCGGGCTCTTCCCCGGACTCCGACTCTCGGACCCCGGACTCTCGGCCAGGCGCCTATGATTAAGACGGCCCCGATTGTGCTAGTCCTTGCTTCCTCCTGACAGACTGGAAATGGCAGAAGCTGGACTCACTGAGGTAAGTGGACATCTCGCTTAAGGGCAGGCTGAGGTGTTCCCTTGAGCAGGGCAAATGTAATGACGTGCTAAGGATCCGAGTGCACCTGAGCACGTGCAGAGCGCATATGCCCCATCACTGAGCAACTTCCCAGCCCCGTTGAATTTGTCTCAGCCATTTCTATACCGCTTGATTGCCATTGTCTCTAAGCAGTGCACAAAGTATTCCGTACTTTGGAATGGAGTGGAAAATATAAAATAAGCCTGCTAGGATGATGATGATGATGTCTTCAGTAGGCTCAACAGGGAGAAGGGCCTGTCTGACTGCAACCTGGAAGGGAGTTCCATAAAATTGGGCCCACAATGGAGTGCTTTATATCCCACCTTTATGCCAAGGAGCTCCAGGTTCTCCCCTTACTCTTATAATCCCCAGAACAACCACCCTGTGAGGTGGGCTAGGCAGAGCCCATGACTGGCTCAAGGTCACCAGTGAGCTTCATGCCCGAGTGGGGATTTGAACCCTGGCCTCCCGGGTCCGGGTCCCACACTCTAACCACTACACTACACTATCTGTCAGCAGCTGCTTAGGGATGGGACTGGGGGCTGCGATTTTGCAAGGCTTGGCATTGCAATATCAGGAGTGGGAGTGTGTGTGGGGTCTTGGCGTCCATCTTTAAATGGCGTTCTCTGGGACAGCAGAACCTGAGTGGGGGATGTTTGGCTCAACTCTACCAGACACAGATGTTGTTGAGCAAGATCTCCCTGCAAAAAAAGAGAGTGTTTTAAAGCTATTTTTTAAGGAAATTTGCCCAAAAAACTGTGGAGTTTGGAACTGACAGGGTTAAAACTCCGTGGTGTCCTGTATCTGCAGAGGCTGTGTGTGTGCTTTGAGCACAGAGATGCCGGAAAGTTCTGATGGATTTATTGCTTTGTAAATAAACGCTTCTAGAGATAAGAACCGATCTGTCTTTGGACTTGATTTATCCCTCATCTCACACGGACGCAGGACCGCTGCTACTCTGCATTTTCTGCCAGGTCAGCTCCCCAGCAGAGCTGCGCAGGGGAAGCCTGACTGGACGCAGGATTAATTTCCCCAGAAAAACCACAAAACTGCTGATTCGAGCTGCCATATGTCCGGATTTTTCCAGACATTTTAACCGATTTTTGAAAATTCTGCCCAGACGCTATTTTCAACAGACATGAAATTCTGCCCGCATGCTATTTTCAACGTGATGCTCCAGCTGGTGACCCTTCGATTAAGAGTCCAGCATTATCCAGAGGACACCCCATTTGATGCCCCCGATATACAGTACAGAATCCAGCTTGTAAATAAGGAACGTCAACGCATCAACCCTAAACACAAATTTTAACAGGGCAGAAGCCCCACTCAAGGCAATGGGGTTTATTTCTGACAAAGTGTAAAGAAGGTGAGGCTGTATTTGCAGAGGATATTTGAAGCCAACGCCTTGTTCAATTTCTTTTACATTTTCTTCCCGTCTGAGGTCTCCAGAGTGAGCAGCTATCCTGCGTGACGTGGGTCAAGGGGTTCATTTTTAGTCCTCTATTAATCCAACGATGCATGCATTTTAACAGCTGCATAAGGTCTTGTGGGGAGAGGAAGGTTTCCTAGAATTGCAGAGTTGTGAGGGACCCTGAGGGTCATCTAGTCCCACCCCCTGCAGTGCAGGAAAATTTTGCCCAACGTGGGGCTCAGACCCACAACCCTGGGATTAAGAGTCTCGTCCTCTGCCAAATCAGACATCTCAAATAGAAAAGAAGATTGAAGGTGATAAAATTTATTAGGACTCCTAAAAGTGTGACTGTCTCTCTAAGAAGTGAGCTCCAGAGGGAATTCTGGGAAAAGGAAGGAAAACGCAAAGCAAGAACAACTCATTTTTGTTTTGTTATTTCTGCTGATTTTGACTGGAATGAATCCTCTCAAAGGGCCCTTGGAAAACTGCCCAACCTGCTCTTGGCGGGTAAATGGTTTTTATGTCAGTCACTCTGGTCTGGAGAGAAACTCCTGCTGGGCCGGAGAGGCAGATTTAGTCTCCTCAGGAGATACTGAGGTGGGTTTCATATCCTCCCAGATCAAAGAAAGGGAGGAGGGTCTCTCCAGAGAACGAGGCTCCTGAGAACGTGTAGAGTTCGGCTCCTGAGTCAGCGTCAGAAAAAGACACACGTCCCCCTTCATAGTCCAGAGTCACCCGGATCCTCCTGGGCTTCTCCCTCAGGGACAGAGGAGAGGGATCAGGGGGGGTGCAGGCCCAGTACCCCCCTCCCCTCTTCCCCACAGCCCAGATCCCCCACTCAGGGCTTAAGGGGAAGCAGCCCTTTCTCTCCACAGACTTCCTGGCAACTCCCACAACCCACTTTCCCCCACTTCCCACAGTGACTTCCCAGAAATGTCTGCCTGCTGTGAATCCCTCACGTCCCAACACACAAGGCTGGTCACTGAATCTCTCAGGATTGTCAGGCAGGGCTTGAGGTTTGTCTCCCAATCTCACGCTTTTCCCATCCTCGGACAGGATGAGTTTGGGATGGGCTGTGTCTGGATCCAGAGTGACATTTGCTGTTGGGGAGAAGATGAGGGAAAGGGAAGATTAGGCAGAGTCAGCTGAGAGACAGAAATGGACACCTTGATAAATAAATAAAAAACACCCAAAAAACCCAGATTCCCTTTCAGATCAAGGGGATTTCTTTGCATCACATGCAAGACTGAGACTCCTCCTTGCAGACTCCTCAGAATAAATATCTTCCTTGTTGTTTTTTAAATCAGTTCCCTTCACTTTCTTATATCCGATGTGTATTGTTCCTGCCCCTCCTCTCATCCCAGGCATTTTCTAAGAGGAAAAACCACCCAGGAACCCTTTTATTCATCTCTTCTGTGTTATCTAAGGAGAAAGAGAGGAGAATTGGAGGAGGCAGGAGAGGAGAGAAGCTGCTTTCCTCTGACAATCTCTGTGGGAATTGGCCTTTGGGGACCTCTGGGTTGGGCTGGAGGAGGAGGACCCCCCGTTATTATAATAATAATAATAATAATAATAATAATAATAATAATAATAATAATCACATTTGCCTACTGCCCTTCATCCATAGGTCAGGGTGGTTCACAGCATAATACTACAACATAAAAACACATATAGGCCTCCCCTCGCGGGGAGTCACGTTCTGGGCCCTCGTGCCCACAAGTGAAAATTGTGTTAAGTGGAGAGCCTGTTTATTCCTTGCCTTCCTCCCTGCCATATTGTAAGTTTAGGCCGTGCCACCAAGGAAGAGGAGGCAGGTGGCAGGGCAATTTTACAAAGGACTGCTTATTCCATGCTTCTCTTTTGGATTTAATATAAACCATAAGACATGTTCCCTGAGGGAAGGGGGAATAACTCAAAAGTTAGGGGCTAAGACAGTTGTGATAGGCAAGTGTAGGGTTATTTTGAAGAGCACAAAAGAGGACACATTTGCCAACTTCTTCTTTTAACCATGGATCACTGACAACTCTCATTTGAAATACTCTATGTAGGCTTTCAAAGCTGTGATGTATTGCTAGTAGCAATCTTCTTAATTTTCAACAACAAAATAACAATAATATATATTGCTCCCTTGCTTGCCACATGACAGTATTTGGGCTCATGTTTACATCTTTGTGCACAGAACAATTTATTAAACTGTTAAACATGCACATATGGACTCTCCTTAAGGGCAGGGGGATGTTAACTCTTGCCCTCCCAGACTCCTTTGTCAAGATCTTGTAGCTGAGCCAGCGTCCTTGTAGTTCAGCCACAAGAGAAGGGTTTTATGCAGGATGTCGCTAGCTGCAGATGCTGCTCTGTTGGGATTCTCTGCTGCAGATTAGTTTAGCCAGGTGCCTCAGATCTGAGTCTAATGCTCTGTGCTTTTCCCCACAATCAAACAGTATATAAATTTTATGAAATAAAGCAAAATCTATAAAATTGAGGGGGAAACCAGGATAATAGTCTGTCTGGAAAAATAAATTCTGTGACCTGCGTGAAACACTTGAGAATATAGAAAGCATGACAAAAGACAGCACAGTTAGTTCTGAAAATGAAATTCTTAAAGTGTGGAATTATTTGCCAAATAATTTTAAATCAATGAAAGTACTTGGGATTGCTTTCCTTACTTTGTTTGGATCATCTTATTCTTGTGAGCAGCTGTTTTCAGCTTTGAATTACATAAAATCTGACACCAGAAACAGACTAACAGATGACTTGAGTGCTGCATCTGTTGCTCTCAAACTTCCAAAGTAGGAGCCAAGGTTAGATAAATTATCAACATGCATACAGCAGCAAAAATCACATTAATTGTTCAAAAGCTTGCCAAATTAATTGTTCAAAAGCTTGCCAAATACAAACTTTTACCTTTCAATAAAAGTTGTTTCTTTTCTGAAGCTCTGTTATTGTGAATTTCTTGTAAGATCAAAGCTGTTAATGTATGAGTTGTTTTAGCGATAAATAAGTGGGTTTTGGGTTTGGGCACTCGGTCCCTAAAAGGTTTGCCACCACTGGTCTATAGGCAGAAATGGAACTCAGACTGGTGTGCAGGTTCTTTGCAGGGCCAAGCTCGGCCCCCAGTCCAAGCCTTCAAACCCTCTCCCAGTTCATTCATGGGACATGGAAAGAACCCAAACGCCAGTAGAGGACTGTTACGCAGAGTGACGCCATTGAAGGGTGTCCCAAAGTCTGCAGAACAGATGGTTCAACACCCATGAAATATCAGTCCCCATCCCTCCTGTCAAATTGTTCCTCTCTTGGAAATTTACCTTTCTGAATTTGTTCACTGAATAGCAGAGCATCTGAGGAAGCAAAAATATATAAAGTATAAGGGCAACACTCTTCCACCAGAAATAAATCTCTGTACAAAAGTAACACTTCATAATGTAGCATCCTTAAATTCTATTATTATAATTAAATAGTAGAAAAATAATTAAAAACAAGAAAATCATAGGAAGAATCTATGAAAATAACTAAAGCTTTAAAACACAGCAATCATAAAGCAAGCTTACAAATAAGAGAATAAAAACATTCAGCATGAATCCTGCTGGTCTCTGAACTTTGTCCCTAAATTGGGCTCTACATTGGAGGACTGGAGGGGAGGCAGAGCAATAGGAATCCCATAAAAGGAGGCAGAGGGGAGATGGAGGCAGCCTTCACATCTTCCCCAAGTAAAGTGGTGGGGGAAACTACTAAAAACAACATTGTGAAACGTAAGGAGAAGCAAAGTTTGATGAGGAAGGATTGGCAGAGCTCTCAGGCAAAAGGAAGCCCTCCCTCACAAACCTTCTACAAATCTTTAAGGTTGTTAACAAGCATAATTGTGCCCTTTGGGGCTCATGTGCTCTTGCTTCCACTCTCAATGGGGGAACTCTCAGGAGATCTTGAAGGCTGAAGCCCTAGATATGGCAGCTGCAGGGGGACGTCTGAGGAGGAGGCGGCTCAGGCCTTGGCTCCACGGCTGAGAAAGAAGCCTGAGCAGGAGGCAGAGGGGGAACTGGGGGCTTCTTAATGCCCTGTGACTCCATTCAGAGAAGGAGAACCTCCAAAAGGACAAACTCAGATTGTGCGGACAGGGAACCACAAGGAAAAGGAGGTTTCGTATAACTGTAAACAGATGCACACGGGAGGAAAAAATCCTGACTTTGCTCTACACTCTGGTTCAGGCTTTCTTTACAGGATCCAGCGTCACAATATACATGGGCCATTCTGGGGGACAGGAAATGAAGGCTGGAGCAGGAAGAAGGAAGGTATCCTGGGGTTACTCAATTCCATGCAATAAGAGCCTGGCATGTTCAGTTCTGAAGAAGTAATAGAATTCCCAGTGTGAAATCCTGGCAGCCATTATTCATTACCTTTCCATTGTTTCATTGTATTCTCCACAAGGTGATTTAGTTCACAGGATTCCAAGATCCTGTTCCTCAGCTCTGGAGGGAAAGCCAGTGGCTTCTCTGGACTCTCTCTTTTCTCATGCCTGGTGAAAAGGAAAACAATGAATGGCCCCATTGTGGCCCCTTCTCCCTAATTATTGCAGGAGATTTCAATAACATGAACAAAGTGGAAGTTTATTTCCCACCAGGTTTATTTCTACCACAGATGAGACCTCAGTCCAAAACCCCTGAAGACGGCTGTCAGTGGCTTCGTAAGGATGCTAAACAGCACAAGGGACAGGATGTAACCCCAAGCCACACCACCGGAGGACTCCCATGGCATCAAACTATGCTGCTCCATAACAACTTTCTGGGAAGGTGCCAGGACTTAAGAACGAGACCCCTGAGTTGGAATGCCTGCAACCCCTCCCTCCCTGAGCTTCTCCAGAGGATGTGAGTGATGTCCAAAGCTGCCAAGTGGTCAAAGAGAACAACCTCTACCCTCCCTTCACCCCCTCTCTCCACCTTCAGCCTCTCATGCTGGAAACGCTCCCAAGAAAAAGAACCCACCCATTCTAGACCAACAGACCTTCCCTCCCTCAGTGCCTCAAAGGGGCTGAGTTACCAGAGTTGAGGGGCTTCTAGTTGGGCATTGAAATATGTCCTAAGCTCTTCCCAAGCATCTTTGGGACTTTCTCTTCTAGATGTTTGAAATTACCACAAAGTCAATGGACAGAAAGTGCAAGAGAAAGAAAGAGCCCCCATCCCTTTGTGAAGTGATGTGGGGAGGGGAGGGAGGGAGGAGGCAGTTGACCATGAAACGTAGAGGGAGAATTGGGGGGCCACAAGTTCAGAAGAGGGGGCTCTACTTTCACCTGTGAGGTGCTGCAGGGAGTGAGTCCCACAGTCTCCCCCCTGCAGCCCCTGGAGGGCCATGTCTGAGGTTCTGGCATCTCAGCTTCAAAGAGTGATGCTAATGGAAATGAGCCAGATCCACTTACCTCTGCAAGGTCCTTCTCACATCCTAGAGGGGAAAAGAGAAGGGAATTCACTGCACACCACAGGCCACACTAGGAAGACCCCCTCAGACCCTGGAGTGGAGGAACAGCCTGGCCCTCAGATGTCAGTCGGCCTGGCACATGCCAAGGTTTTGGGTAGGGATGGCAGAATCAGCTGGTTTTGGTTTCTCACAGCTTTTATTTTCCCAGTGTGAAATTATTAACTGTTCTGATTTCAAGATCTCCACATTTCCACATCAGTTTGCCATTTTTGTTTAAAATCCTTATGAAAACCCACCAGCATTTTAGGGAAATTTCACATTTGTGGGTTCAAGAGACAATTCACACCATCTCTAGTCTTAGATTATAATTTAATAACTTTAATCCAGTTTGCATTGTGCAATTCAGACGTAAGCAAGCCTACAGGATAATCCTACCAGGGCACTGTCTTCAATAGAAGTCCCCAAATTTCAAATGCTATTTTCCACCTGGAAATTTAAAAAGCACCTGCAGCATAAAATGCCTCCCAAGGGGTAATAAAATAGGTCAGTGTTTCTTTGGGCTCACCCACACTTCTGCTTTTCCTGTGCCCAGAAAACACGGGTCCAAGTGGTTTTGCCTTTGCCCTGCCTCTTTCCCTCAGGAAAAACCTCCTCCTTAGTGCAACATCAAAGCAAACGTCAGTCTGGAGAAAACCTGGCTGAGGTTTGCTCTAATTCAGCAGTAAACAGCGGGTTTTCCTGGAGGAAAGGGGTGGGACAAGCAGCAGTCTGGATGAGTCCCTCTGTCTTGCTCTTTGGTCACTGTGACTGAGCACCATTTTGGGCCGATCTGTATCCATGGGGAAGGGGATCAACCCAGAAGTTGTGGAGGAAATGGGAAGAGAAGCTTGGTCAAGAGACCGGCTCATGTCGGAAGGCCTGAACGCATCCAGATGTAGACCCCCACAGCTGAGAGGCATTCGGAGACAAAGCATCAGCAAAGAGCAGAAGATCAGCTCCCGTTCCATCAAGAACACAGACGAATCTCTACTCTGCATTCAGGTGAGTTAAGCATCCCAGGTCTCTCAGGTGTTCCTGTCCATTACAAACCTGACTAGAGGCTCCATCATCTCAGCCCCTGCACTCCTTGCATACATGAAAGGGGCAGCCTTTTCCTGGAGCCTTGGGCTGTTCCTGCCACCGACTTACCTGCAGGAGTTCACTCGCTGGCTGCTGACCCTTTTCTTCCATCTCCTGGATGATCCTCTCAAGAGAGGAGAGTTTCCTGGAGAGTCTGGCCAGCTCCTCATCCCTTCTCCCTGCAATCTCCTTCTCCACCTCTGCCACGTGAGTCAGCAGACGTTTTTCTTGTTCTTCCAGGAACTGGCGCAGTTCTCTGAACTTTTCCACAATCTTCATCCTCTCCGTTTCTGTTAATTTCTGCAAGAAAAGAGGAGGTCTGAGTGTGGAAGGTGCTCAGCCTTCAAAACATCAAGAAGAGAATTGTGAGAATTCCACAGGGAGGACACTTCTGATTTTTCAGAGACATGAAACCTCCAGTGGCTAAAGAAGTAAACCCTTAATTTGAGGGGAGGCCCTCTCCACTGAATTTTCTGTTGACTTCTATTTCGCAGAGAGCTACAGCCTAAAGCAAGGAGCATTTTTCCTAGCTATTTTGACTCAGCCAGGTAATGTTCACAAAAATGTATTTATGAGGATAAAGTACGTATCAAAATATTTATACAAGAATGTACCCACCTTAGCATTTTATTCATTTTCATAATAATAAAGAAACAAACAAACTGATATGGAAAAAGGAGAATGGGGGGAAGTTGAAATGGGCAGATTTCCCGATCCTTCAACAGTCCTGACTCAATTTTTCAAGTGCTTGTTCCCTCACTAGTAACAAGAGAGACACTTACAAGGAGGTCTTTGCTTTCCTTGTCCAGGGCTGCTTGATAGGCCAGAATTTCCTCTCTCTCTTTCCTCAGAATCTCCAGGTGGTGGCAGATCTCTTCCTGAAAAGAAAAAGGGAAACTTAGGTTTTATTGAGACACAGAGAGAGGAGATGGATATTATACAGGCTTCTTGGGTCCAGTGGCCTTGCTATAACAGCGAAGTAGTTTACTAGAGGAAATAAAAGTACCTTTTTGGGTCCATGGCTCCCTTGACCAACTACCTTCTTTCTGTGGTGTCCCCGTGGGGCTCAGGATCCCAGTTAGGCCCCCCCTTGCTTGCGGAGCTTGCAGCCCCTCACTCTTTCTCAAACACCCTCCCCCTTGCGGAGTGCTCTCTCTGAGCTGCCCCCGCTGCCCCACAGGGGCCTGGGACTTGTCTGTCCCTTCCCAACAGCAAGGGCCCCTCGCCAGTTTGCTTGCTTCCTCCGAGGCCGCCTCAGCTCCTGGCAGCCCACACCCCCTGGCCAGCCCCAGAGGCACCATTTGCCAGCGGAGCTTGTAGCCAGGGCTGCTGCAACAAAGAGCTGCGCAAGCCTTTGGGAGGCAGCTATGGCATCCGAGGAGGGAGGGAAGGAAAGAGGGACAGAGGCCAGTGTTGCCAGCAGCATCCCTGAGCATCATTCAGGGCACTCCATGTGCCACAGCACACGGGTTGAGAAGCACAGCAGAACTGGGATGGGAAAGTTATCTAGTCTGGAGAAGAGCAAAGGCAGCCATGCTTGCTCCTTTGTCTTCTCTGAAGAGACTTCCAGCCTGACTTCTCATCTTGAGATACCAGGGAGAAGTGGGAAGAGGAAGAGGAGGAAGAAGAGCTAAAGTAGGATCCAGAATGAGGATTTTATTTTTATATACAGTATAATAGCACAGGTCCAATTCTGAGTTGTCATGGAAAAGTCATCTTTCCCCCTTGTCTTTGCAGATGCTACTCTGGAATCACTGACTCCTTTACTATTTGGGATGGAAGGAGATCCTCAGCCCTCCCTACTGAAACCTCATTGCACAGGCCCCACAGCACCCCCAGAATAAGCGTGCTCCCCACCAGTAGGCACTTCCACCCCCCCACTCCTAAATCTGCTTCCAACAGTTACTTGGGGGGAGGATCCTGCACCATCTGGTCAATTCCTGGCCACCAGTCCCCCCCCCCAGCTGATCCCTTGCTGCTCTCTGCTTTGCAGGGCATTGAGGACGCATCCTGCTAGCCAAAATAGACTTGTAGTTAGTTGTGTACATGCAATTTACATTTGCAGTGTTCTTCATATGTACAAAGCAACCTGCTGGGGGATGTGAATGAGGTTAACCCTTTCTCTCCCTACCATGGTACCAGTACAAATCTTTGAAGCTGCTGTGAGTATTTCAAGGGAAGATCCCTTTGTCCCCCTGGCAGAGAGAAAGACTTCAACTCCCTCCTCCAGGAGTCCTCAGGCTTCCTCTTGGCTGCTTTTTACATAATAAACTGTTAGAGGCGGTTTTTCTTCTGGTGGCAGACGACAGAACCACGTGACCGGTGTAAAACACTCAAGCAAAGGTTTTATTACAGCTATACCAAAACACAAAGCATGTGGGAGTTCTCTCTCTGCAGGCAAATTCAAACTGCAACTTCTCCTTTTGTACTCATCACCAGCTGTACCTCTTCAGCCTAGAAAACCACAGCCAGAACTCGCAGAAAAAAATTCTTAGTTACAATCATCTTTTCTGTTTCTTTGCAGAATGATTCCTAAAATAAACAACCACCAATTCATGCCATACTTTGGACCTGAGAATTAAAAAGAAAATTTCCCAAGAAGAATCCACAGCTACTTCTCCCTCTCAAGATCCGGGGATCTCCTACCTTGTATTCCTGGAAAGCCTCCTTCAGAGGAATCACCTTGTGATTTTCATGTTCCTTTGATCTGTCACACACCAGGCAGATGGGGACTTCATGGACTTTGCAGAAGAGCTTCAGGGGCTCCTGGTGATCCTCACAGACTCCTCCTTTTCTTTCTTCTTCTTTCCCTCCTTCATCTCTGAGATTCTCAATTAATTCTACCAAGTTAGCCAATTGCCGGTTGGGGATGAGGCTCCTTCTCTGGACTGTTTCTCTGCACTGAGGGCAGGAAGCCTCTGCCTCCGATTCCCCCCAGCACTGGATCAAGCAGGATCGGCAGAAGTTGTGCCCACACTCTGGGATGATCACTGGATCCTTAAAATATTCCAGGCAGATGGAGCAAGTGGCTTCATCTCGGAGATGCTGCATGTGACCCCCTGCAGCAGCCATGGCTCCCTCAGGCAAAAGTCCCGCGTTAAGTTTCGTTTTCTCTGTTTTCAGGCACTGGGAGTTTCCCTTCCTGGAAATGACTCAGAAACTCAGTCACCACGTGATCTTTTTCTTTTCTTTTTTTAATGTCCCCAGGTCTTTGCAGCTGCTGAAAGTTTTCTCAAGTAGCAGCGAATTCTCCTTGATTGCTTCCCATGCTTTTGATTACACAGAAACACAGACGTACCTAGTAAATTGTGGTATTCATAAGATTTTAATTCGCAGGCTTCCTTGACATTTTTGAATTGGAGAACATCTGCCGCTGCCCTAAATGGATGGGAGTTCTGATTTAGCAAGTGGGACTTGATTCCGTGAAGAAAGCTCCTTAATTGCACATTTATTTAAAACCATAACAAGTGGACCCTTGTAGTGAAAAGCCATTTATCCAGCCTGTTGGAGCAATAATGTCTCCAGAAACAGGAATGATATTTCATAGAAGAGGGGCAGCCCCTCTCAAGGCCCTGCTCAGAGTCACTGTGCAAAAGGGCTTCTGAGATTTTTGGGGTGTGCAGGAGAGACACTCCCACAGACTGCAGGGATCTCGTGGTGTACAAGGCATAACCCCCTCTCTCAAGTCACCTGGTCTTGGGGGATATGGGACCTTGAACTTGGCCCAGGATCTGACTGGCAGCCTGTGGGAATCTCGCTAGCAGGGTGATCAGCACTGGCGGTTGTTTGCTCCCACTGTTATGTACTGCAGTTCTCACCCTGGGCCAGCAGGCGGATACTTGGAGATAGTTTTCACTCAGGTCCACATATGCAAATAAGGGATTGAAAGTGACATTCAGTGATTGGATAGTTACAGAAAGTGGTTACTGTTGCATTGTAGTGGAGCTCCATATAAGCAGGGTGACTGAACCCTTCAGTTCAGTTCAGGCCTATGAATAAACAAGAGCTGTTTGAAGAATCGCTGTGTCGTCTGATATGTTCACCCACAACTTAACACTCACAAGCATGTCAACATTCTGCGCCGTCTTTTGCACAAGCCATTCCACTAGGTAGGGGAACTAGGCTGCGGCTGAAGGACTTTGGCTTAGGGCAGCACTGAATTCCTCCCTGTGTTTCAGATGCCAGTCTCAGGGAACAGCCACCAGGCCCCTTGAGACAGGTGGAGCTTCTCCAAACAACTCCCAGTCAGAGACAAAGCTACATGGACTGAAATACGACAGGGGCATGATTTTGCTGGGTAAGGCTTTAATTTTTAAATGTTTATTGGGTAAAACTCCTGCAGGAAAGGGAGGCATTGGGAGGAGGTCTTCCAGAGGATTTTGGCGGATTCTTCAGGGTGAGGGAATGTCCTAACTGCATATCAGACACCCAGAACACCTCCCTCTGTGCGTTGTTTCTGTCAACTTGGCACTTGAATGGGATGGACATCCTGTTTTCCTGAGACTCTGAAGAACCTTCCTTGTGTGGCGGAACGTTCTCCCCCTCTCCTCTCCCCAAATCTGTTCTGGGGTTTCCCCCTGACCTTCCCCAGCAGATCTGGGTGTGCAGGAAGGGGAGGAAGGGGACAAAGTCTCATTGTGCTCAGGGCAGTCTTAAGCATATGCGATGCCGGGATGCAAAGATCTGCCCAGCGCCCCCCCACCGCTTGCCCAGAGTTGTTGACTTTTTTTTAGGTCCACTCAGGAAAGCCGAACAGAAGAGCCTGCCACGGCACTCCAACAGGCGGCCTCTTCTTCCCTGGACTCCGACTCTCGGACCCCGGACTCTCGGCCAGGCGCCTATGATTAAGACGGCCCTGATTGTGCTAGTCCTTGCTTCCTCCTGAGGGACTTGAAATGGCAGAAGCTGGACTCACTGAGGTAAGTGGACATCTCACTTAAGGGCAGGCTGAGGTGTTCCCTTGAGCAGGGCGAATGTAATGACGTGCTAAGGATCCGAGTGCACCTGAGCACGTGCAGAGCGCATATGCCCCATCACTGAGCAACTTCCCAGCCCTGTTTAATTTGTCTCAACCATTTCTATACCGCTTGACTGCCATTGTCTCTAAGCAGTGCGCAAAGTATTCCATACAATGAAAAAGAGTGGAAAATATAAAATAAGCCTGCTAGGATGATGATGATGATGATGATGTCTTCAGTAGGTTCAACAGGGAGAAGGGCCTGTCTGACCGCAACCTGGAAGGGAGTTCCATAAAATTGGGCCCACAATGGAGTGCTTTATATCCCACCTTTATGCCAAGCAGCTCCAGGTTCTCCCCTTCCTCTTATAATCCCCAGAACAACCACCCTGTGAGGTGGGCTAGGCAGAGCCCGTGACTGGCTCAAGGTCACCAGTGAGCTTCATGCCCGAGTGGGGATTTGAACCCTGGCCTCCTGGGTCTGGTCCCACACTCTAACCACTACACTACACTGTCTGTCAGCAGCTGCTTAGGGATGGGACTGGGGGCTGTGATTTTGCAAGGCTTGGCATTGCAATATCAGGAGTGGGAGCGTGTGGGGGGTCTTGGGCGTCCATCTTTAAATGGTGTTCTCTGGGACAGCAGAACCTGAGTGGGGGATGTTTGGCTCAACTCTACCAGACACAGATGTTGTTGAGCAAGATCTCCCTGCAAAAAAAGAGAATGTTTTAAAGCTATTTTTAAAGGAAATTTGCCCAAAAAACCACAACACTGTTGATTTGAACTGCCATATGTCCGGATTTTTCCAGACATTTTAACCGATTATTGAAAATTCTGCCCAGACGCTATTTTCAACAGACATGAAATTCTGCCCACATGCTATTTTCAATGTGATCCTCAAGCTGGTGACCTTTCGATTAAGAGTCCAGCTCTATCCAGAGGACACCCCATTTGATGCCCCCGATATACAGTACAGAATCTAGCTTATAAACAAGGAACGTCAACGCATCAACCCTAAACACAAATTTTAACAGGGCAGAAGCCCCACTCAAGGCAATGGGGTTTATTTCTGACAAAGAAGGTGAGGCTGTATTTGCAGAGGATATTTGAAGCCGACGCCTTGTTCAATTTCTTTTACAATTTCTTCCCGTCTGAGGTCTCCAGAGCAAGGAGGTATGCTGCCTGATGTGGGTGAAGGGGTTCATTTTTTTGTCCTCTATTAATCCAATGATGCATGCATTTTCACAGCTGCATAAGGCATTGTGGGGAGAGGAAGGATTCCTAGAATTGCAGAAATGTGAGGGACTCCGAAGGTCCTCTAGTCCCACCCCCTGCAGTGCAGGAAACATTTGCCCATAACCCTGAGATTAAGAGTCTCGTCCTCTGCCGAATCAGACATTTGAAAAGGAAAAGAAGATTGAAGGTGAGAAAATTTATTAGGACTTCTAAAAGTGTGACTGTCTCTTTATGAAGTAAGCTGCAGAGGGAATTCTGGGAAAAGGAAAGAAAATGCAAAGGAAGAGTAACCCATTTTTGTTCTGTTATTTTTGCTGATTTTGACTGGAATGAATCCTCTCAAAGGGCCCTTGGAAAACTGCCCAAAGGGCTCTTGGCGGGTGAATGGTTTTTATGTCAGTCACTCTGGTCTGGAGAGAAACTCCTGCTGGGCCTGAGAGGCAGATTTAGTCCCCTCAGGAGATACTGAGCTGGGTTTTATAATTTCCCTCCAGATCAAAGAAAGGGAGGAGGGTCTCTCCAGAGAACGAGGCTCCTGAGAACGTGTAGAGTTCGGCTCCTGAGTCAGCGTCAGAAAAAGACACACGTCCCCCTTCATAGTCCAGAGTCACCCGGATCCTCCTGGGCTCCCAAAACAGGGACAGAGGAGTGTCATCAGGGGAGGTGCAGGCAAAGTACTCGCTTTCCCACTTCTCCACAGCCCAGATCCCCCACTCAGGTCTAAAGGAGAAGTACCCCTTTCTCTCCACAGACTTCCTGGCGACCCCCAAAACCCAATCTTCCCCACTTTCCACAGTGACTTCCCAGAAATGGCTGCCTGCTGTGAATCCCTCACGTCCCAACACACAAGGCCAGTCACTGAATCTCTCAGGATTGTCAGGCAGGGCTTGAGGTTTGTCTCCCCTTCTCACGCTTTTCCGATCCTCGGACAGGATGAGTTTGGGATGGGCTGTGTCTGGATCCAGAGTGACATTTGCTGTGGGGGAGAAAAGAGGGAAAGAGAAGAATATGCAGAGTGAGCTGAGAGACAGAAATGGACATCCTGATGATAATAATAATAATAATAATAATAATAATAATCCCGAAAAACCCAGATTCCCTTTCAGATGAATGGGATTTCTTTGGATCACATGCAAGAGTGAGACTTCTTGCAGACTTTCAACAGAATAAATATCTTCCTTGTTTGATTTTAAATCAGTTCCCTTCACTTTCTTATATCCGATGTGTATGGTGCCTGCCCCTCCTCTGATCCCAGGCATTTTCTAAGAGGAAAAAGCACCCATTAAACCTTTTACTCATCTCTTGTGTGTTATCTAAGGAGAAAGAGAGGAGAATTGGAGGAGGGAGGAGAGGAGAGAAGCTGCTTTCCTCTGACAATCTCTGTGGGAATTGGCCTTCGGGGACCTCTGGGTTGGGCTGGGAGATGAGGACCCCCCTGTAATAAATAATACAGTGGTACCCCGCAAGACGAATGCCTCGCAAGACGGAAAACCCACTAGACGAAAGGGTTTTCCGTCGTGGAGGCGCTTCGCAAGACGAAGTTACCTATGGGCTTGCTTCGCAAGACGAAAACGTCTTGCGCGTCTCGCCATTTTTTTCCCGCTTCCCCCCCCCTTTTTCAAAGCGGCTAAGCTGTTAATAGCCTTTTAACAGCTTAGCCGCTAAGACGCTAATAGCCCTAAATCGCTAATAGTGCTAATCCGCTTAGCCGCCAATGGGGTTGCTTCGCAAGACGAAAAAACCGCTAGAAGAAAAGAATCGCGGAACGGATTCTTTTCGTCTTGCGAGGCACCACTGTAATCATCATCATCATCATCATCATCATCATCACATTTGCCTACTGCCCTTCATCCATAGGTCAGGGTGGTTCACAGCATAAAAACTACAACATAAAAGCACATATAGGCCTCCCCTCACGGGGAGTCACGTTCTGGGCCCTCGTGCCCACAAGTGAAAATCGTGTTAAGTGGAGAGCCTGTTTATTCCTTGCCTTCCTCCCTGCCATATTGTAAGTTTAGGCCTTGCCACCAAGGAAGAGGAGGCAGATGGCAGGGCAATTTTACAAAGGACTGCTTATTCCATGCTTCTCTTTTGGATTTAATATAAACCATAAGACAAGTTCCCTGAGGGAAGGGGGAATAACTCAAAAGTTAGGGGCTAAGACAGTCGTGATAGGCAAGTGTAGGGTTATTTTGAAGAGCACAAAAGAGGACACATTTGCCAACTTCTCCTTTTAACCATGGATCACTGACAACTCTCATTTGAAATACTCTATGTAGGCTTTCGAAGCTGTGATGTATTGCTAGTAGCAATCTTCTAAATTTTCAACAACAAAATAACAATAATACATATTGCTCCCTTGCTTGCCACATGACAGTATTTGGGCTCATGTTCACATCTTTGTGCACAGAACAATTTATTAAACTGTTAAACATGCACATATGGACTCTCCTTAAGGGCAGGGGGATGTTAACTCTTGCCCTCCCGGATTCCTTTGTCAAGATCTTGTAGCTGAGCCAGCGTCCTTTTAGTTCAGCCACAAGAGAAGGGTTTTATGCAGGATGTCGCTAGCTTAAGATGCTGCTCTGTTGCGATTCTCTGCTGCAGATTAGTTTAGCCAGGTGCCTTAGATCTGAGTCTAATGCTCTGTGCTTTTCCCCACAATCAAACAGTATATAAATTTTATGAAATAAAGCAAAATCTATAAAATTGAGGGGGAAACCAGGATAATAGTCTGCCTGGAAAAATAAATTTTGTGACCTGTGTGAAACACTTGAGAAGATAGAAAGAATGACAAAAGACAGCACAGATAGTTCTGAAAATGAAATTCTTAAAGTGTGGAATTATTTGCCAAATAATTTTAAATCAATGAAAGTACTTGGGATTGCTTTCCTTACTTTGGTTGGATCATCTTATGCTTGTGAACAGCTGTTTTCAGCTTTGAATTACATAAAATCTGACACCAGAAACAGACTAACAGATGACTTGAGTGCTGCATCTGTTGCTCTCAAACTTACAAAGTATGAGCCAAGGTTAGATAAATTCTCAACATGCATACAACAGCAAAAATCACATTAATTGTTCAAAAGCTTGCCAGATACAAACTTTTACCTTTCAATAAAAAGTTTTTTCTTTTCTGAAGCTATGTTATTGTGAATTTCTTTTAAGATCAAAGCTGTTAATGTATGAGTTATTTTTTCTAAATTAAAACCTCAGTATTCAGGTTAAATTGCTGTGTTGACACTTAGCGATAAATAAGTGGGTTTTGGGTTGCAGTTTGGGCACTGGGTCCATAAAAGGTTTGCCACCACTGGTCTATAGGCAGAAATGGAACTCATACTGGTGTGCAGGTTCTTCGCAGGGCCAAGCTCTGCCCCCAGTCCAAGCCTTCAAACCCTCTCCCAGTTCATTCATGGGACAGACGAAGAACCCAAACACCACTAGAGGACTGTTTCCCAGAGTGACGCCATTGATGGGGGTCCCAAAGTCTGCAGAGCAGACGGTTCAACACCCATGAAATATCAGTCCCCATCCCTCCTGTGAAATTGTTCCTCTCCTGGAAATTTACCTTTCTGAATCTGTTCACTGAAGAGCAGAGCATCTGAGGAAGCAGAAAGATATAAAGTGTAAGGGCAATACTCTTCCACCTGAAATAAATCTCCGTACAAAAGTAACACTTCATAATGTAGCATCCTTAAATTCTAGTATTATTATTAAATAGTAGTAAAATAATTAAAAACAAGAAAATCATAGGAAGAATCTATGAAAATAACTAAAGCTTTAAAACACAGCAATCATAAAGCAAGCTTACAAATAGCAGAATAAAAACATTCAGCATAAATCCTGCTGGTCTCTGAACTTTGTCCCTAAATTGGGCTCTACATTGGAGGACTGGAGAGGAGGCAGGACAATAGGAATCCCGTAAAAGGATGCAGAGGGGAGATGGCGGCAGCCTTAACATCTTCCCCAAGTAAAGTGGTGGGGGGAATCATTAAAGCCAAAATTGTGAGACATAAGGAGAAGCAAAGGTTGCTGTGGAAGGATTGGCAGAGCTCTCAGGCAAAAGGAAACCCTTCCTCACAAACCTTCTACAAGTCTTTAAGGTTCTTCACAAGCATAATTGTGCCCTTTGGGGCTCATGTGCTCTTGCTTCCACTCTCAATGGGGGAACTCTCAGGAGATTTTGACACACGAAGCCCTAGATATGGCAGCTGCAGGGGGACGTCTGAGGAGGAGACGGCTCAGGCCTTGGCTCCACGGCTGAGAAAGAAGCCTGAGCAGGAGGCAGAGGGGGAACTGGGGGCTTCTTAATGCCCTTTGACTCCATTCAGAGCAGGAGAACCTCCAAAAGGACAAACTCAGATTGTGCAGACAGGGAACCACAAGGAAAAGGAGGTTTCGTATAACTGTAAACAGAAGCACATGGGAGGAAAAAATCCTGACTTTGCTCTACACTCTGGTTCAGGCTTTCTTTACAGGATCCAGTGTCACAATATACAGGGGCCATTCTGGGGGACAGGAAATGAAGGCTGGAGCCCCAAGAAGGAAGGTATCCTGGGGTTACTCAATTCCATGCAATAAGAGCCTGGTATGTTCAGTTCTGAAGAAGAAACAGAATTCCCAGTGTGAAATCCTGGCAGCCAGTTTTCATTACCTTTCCATTGTTTCATTGTATTCTCCACAAGGTGATTTAGATCACAGGATTCCAAGATCCTGTTCCTTAGCTCTGGAGGGAAAGCCAGTGGCTTCTCTGGACTCTCTCTTTCCTCATACCTGGTGAAAAGAAAAACAATGAATGGCCCCATTGTGGCCCCTTCTCCCTAATTCTTGCAGGAGATCTCAGTAACGTGAACAAAGTGGAAGTTTATTTCCCAACAGGTTTATTTCTACCACAGATGAGACCTCTGTCCAAAACCCCTGAGGACAGCTGTCAGTGGCTTCGTAAGGATGCTAAACAGCACAAGGGACAAAGTGTAACCCCAAGCGACACCACCGGAGGACTCCCATGGCTTCAAACTATGCTGCCCCCTAACAGCTTTCTGGGAAGGTGCCAGGACTTAAGAACCAAACCCCTGAGGTGGAATGCCTGCAATCCCTCCCTCCTGAGCTTCTCCAGAGGATGTGAGTGATGTCCAAAGCTGCCCAGTGGTCAAGGAGAACCACCTCCACCCTCCCTTCACCCCCTCTCTCCACCTTCAGCCTCTCATGCTGGAAACGCTCCCAAGAAAAAGAACCCACCCATTCTAGCCCTACAGACCTTCCCTCTCTCTGTGCCTCAAAGGGGCTGAGTTTGCAGAGGGGCTTCTAGTTGGACATTGAAATCTGTTGGTACATCCCAAGCTATTCCCAAGCATCTTTGGCCCTTTCTCTTCTAGATGTTTGAAATTACCACAAAGTCCATGGACAGAAAGTGCAAGAGAAAGAAAAGAGCCCTCATCCCTGTGTGAAGGGATGTGGGGAGGGAGGGAGGAGGCAGTTGACCTTGAACCTTGGAGGGAGAATTGGGGGGCCACAAGGTCAGAAGAGGGGGCTCTACTTTTACCTGTGAGGTGCTGCAGGGAGTGCGTCCTACAGTCTCCCCCCTGCAGCCCCTGGAGGGCCATGTCTGAGGTTCCTGCATCTCAGCTTCAAAGAGTGATGCTAATGGAAATGAGCCAGATCCACTTACCTCTGCAAGGTCCTTCTGACATCCTAGAGGGGAAAAGAGAAGGGAATTAACTGCACACCACAGGCCACACTAGGAAGACCCCCTCAGACCCTGGAGTGGAGGAACAGCCTGGCCCTCGGATGTCAGTCTGCCTGGCACATGCCAAGGTTTTGGGTAGGGATGGCGGAATCAGCTAGTTTTGGTTTCTCACAGCTTTTATTTTCCCAGTGTGAAATTATTAATTGTTCCGATTTCAAGATCTCCACATTTCCACATCAGTTTGCCATTTTTGTTTAAAATCCTTATGAAAACCCTCCAGCATTTTAGGGAAATTTCACATTTGTGGGTTCAAGAGACAATTCACACCATCTCTGGTCTTAGATTATAATTGAATAACTTTAATCCAGTTTGCATTGTGCAATTCAGACGTAAGTAAGCCTACAGGATAATCCTACCAGGGAACTGTCCCAAATTGTCTTCCATAGAAGTCCCCAAATTTCAAATGCTATTTTCCACCTGGAAATTAAAAAAGCACCTGCAGCATAAAATGCCTCCAAAGGGGTAATAAAAAACAGCTCAGTGTTTCTTTGGGCTCCTCCACACTTCTGCTTTTCCTGTGCCCAGAAAACACGGGTCCAAGTGGTTTTGTCTTTGCCCTGCCGCTTTCCCTCAGGAAAAACCTGCTCCTTAGTGCAACATCAAAGCAAACGTCAGTCTGGAGAAAACCTGGCTGATGTTTGCTCTAATTCAGCAGTAAAAAGAGGGTTTTCCTGGAGGAAAGGGCTGGGACAAGCAGCAGTCTGGATGAGTCCCTCTGTCTTGCTCTTTGGTCACTGTGACTGAGCACCATTTTGGGCCCATCTGTATCCATGGGGAAGGGGATCAACCCAGAAGTTGTGGAGGAAGTGGGAAGAGAAGCTTGGTCCAGAGACTGGCTCATGTCGGAAGGAGACCTGAACGCATCCTAGACGAAGCCCCCCACAGCTGAAAGGCATTCGTTTTTTTTTATTTTATAAATTTTTTATTAAAGTTTTTTATAACAACATGAGCAAAGAGCAGAAGATCAGCTCCTGTTCCATCAAGAACACAGACGAATCTCTACTCTGCATTCAGTGAGTTAAGCATCCCAGGTCTCTTGGGTCTTCCTGTCCATTACAAACCTGACTAGAGGCTCCATCAACTCAGCCCCTGCACTCCTTGCATACATGAAAGGGGCAGCCTTTTCCTGGAGCCTTGGGCTGTTCCTGCCACCATCTTACCTGCAGGAGTTCACTCGCTGGCTGCTGACTCTTCTCCTCCATCTCCTGGATGATCCTCTCAAGAGAGGAGAGTTTCCTGGAGAGTCTGGCCAGCTCCTCATCCCTTCTCCCTGCAATCTCCTTCTCCACCTTTTCCACATGAGTCAGCAGACGTTTCTCTTGTTCTTCAGGAACTGTCGCAGTTCCCTGAACTTCTCCACAGTCTTCAGCCTCTCCGTTTCTGTTAATTTCTGCAGGAAAAGAGGAGGTCTGAGTGTGGAAGGTGCTCAGCCTTCAAATCACCAGGAAGAGAATTGTGAGAATTCCACAGGGAGGACACTTCTGATTTTTCAGAGACATGAAACTTCCAGTTACTAAAGAAGTAAACCTTTAATTTGAGGGGAGGCCCTCTCCACTGAATTTTCTGTTGACTTCTATTTCGCAGAGAGCTACAGCCTAAAGCAAGGAGCATTTTTCCTAGCTATTTTGACTCAGCCAGGTAATGTTCACAAAAATGTATTTATGAGGATAAAGTACGTATCAAAATATTAATACAAGAATGTAGCCACCTTAGCATTTTATTCATTTTCATAATAATAAATAAACAAAGAAACAAACAAACAGATATGGAAAAGGAGAATGGGGGGAAGTTGAAATGGGCAGATTTCCCCATCCCTCCTCACTCCTGACTCAATTCTTCAAGTGCTTGTTCCCTCCCTAGTGATAAGAGTGGCACTTACCAGGAGGTCTTTGCTTTCCTTGTCCAGGGCTGCTTGATGGGCCAGAATTTCCTCTCTCTCTTTCCTCAGAATCTCCAAGCGGTGGCAGATCTCTTCCTGAAAAGAAAAAGGGAAACTTAGGTTTGCTTGAGACACAGAGAGAGGAGATGAATATTATACAGGCTTCTTGGGTCCAGTGGCCTTGCTATAACAGCGAAGTAGTTTACTAGAGGAAATAAAAGTACAACCTTTTTGGGTGCATGACTCCCTTGACCAACTACCTTCTTTCTGCGGTGTCCCTGTGGGGGGGCTCAGGATCCCAGTTAGGTCCCCCCCCTTGCTTGCAGCCCCTCACCCTTTCTCTAACACCCTCCCTTGCGGAGGGCTCTCTCAGCCTCCTCTCCCCTCTCCTTAGGAGTCCTCCTCTTGGTCTCTGAGCTGCCCCAAAGAGAGGTGCCTCCTCACACTGCCCCACAGGAGCCTGGGACTTGTCTGTCCATTCCCACCAGCAAGGCCCCTCGCCAGTTTCCTTGCTTCCTCCGAGGCCGCCTCAGCTCCTGGCAGCCCACACCCCCTGGCCAGCCCCAGAGGCACCATTCCCCAGCGGAGCTTGTAGCCAAGGCTGCTGCAAGAAAGAGCTGCGCAAGCCTTTGGGAGGCAGCTATGGCATCCGAGGAGGGAGGGAAGGAAAGAGGGACAGAGGCCAGTGTTGCCAGCAGCATCCCTGAGCATCATTCAGGGGACTCCAGGTGCCACAGCACACTGGCTGAAAACCACTGCGGAACTGGGATGGGAAAGTTTTCTATTGCAACTACAGTGGTACCTCAGGTTGCAAACACTTCAGGTTACAAACTCCGCTAACCCGAAAGTACCTTATTTTTCGCTCTATAGGACGCACTTTCCCCCCTCCAAAATTTGAGGGGAAATGTGTGTGCATCCTATGGAGCAAATGCAGGCTCCTTGGCTTCAGCGATAGCATCGCTAAGCCTCTGAAGTGCAGAGGGAGAGCTCCCTCCGTGTTCCAAAGGCTTTGCGTTGCTTTCTCTGAAGCCTGGAGAGCGAGAGGCGTTGGTGCACACCAACCCCTCTCGCTTTCCAGGCTTCAGGGATAGCCACGCGCAGCCCCTCCGGCAGGGAGAGGCTGAACGGGGCTATGGCTTCTTTAACCCAGCGCAGCCTCTCCCAGCAGGGAGACGTTGCGTGGGGCTAAAGAGGAATCCAAAACAGCCAGCAGGATGGATCCCGCTGGCTGCCTTGGCTTGTGCCATAGCCACGCGCAACCCCTCCAGCAGGGAGAGGTTGCGCGCATCCTGTACGCTGCTCTTTGGGGCTGGGGGGGAAAATAATATTATTTTTCTTGATTTCCCCCCCTACAAACTGGGTGCGCCCTATGGTCCAGTGCGCCCTATGGAGCGAAAAATCTGGTAGTACCTTGGGTTGAGAACTTTACCTCAGGATGAGAACGGAAATCGCGCGCCAGCAGGTTAAGAACAGACCTCCGGAACAAATTAAGTTCTTAACCCAAGGTACCACTGTAACTAGTCTGGAGAGGAGCAAAGGCAGCCATGTTTGCTCCTTTGAACTTCTCTGAGGAAAGTTCAAGCCTGACTTCTCATCTTGAGGTCCCAGGGAGAAGTGGGAAGAGGAGGAGGAGGAGGAAGAGGAGGAGGAAGGGCTAAGGCAGGATCCAGAATGAGGATTTTATTTTGTATACATAGTATAATAGCACAGGTCCAATTCTGAGTTGTCATGGAAAAGTCATCTTTCCCCATGTCTTTGCAGATGCTACTCTGGAATCACTGAGTCCTTTGTCATTTGGGATGGGAGGAGATCCTCAGCCCCCCCCACTGAAACCTCATTGCATAGGCCCCACAGCACCCCCAGAATAAGCCTGCTCCCCACCAGTAGATGTTTCCACACACACACACACACACACACACACACTCCTAAATCTGCTTCCAGCAGATACTTGGGGGGAGGATCCTGCACCATCTGGTCAATTCCTGGCCACCGCCACCCCCCCCAGTTGATCCCTTGCTACTATCTGCTTTGCAGGGCATTGAGGAGGGATCCTGCTGGCCAAAGGAAACATGCACTTGGTTGTGTATGTGCAATGTACATTTGCAGTGTTCTTCATATGTACAAAGCAACCTGCTGGGGGATGTGGATGAGGTTAACCCTTTCTCTTCCTACCATGGTTCCAGTTCAAATCTTTCAAGCTGCTGTGAGTATTTCAAGGGAAGATCCCTTTGTCCCCCTGGCAGAGAGAAAGACTTCAACTCCCTCCTCCCAGGAGTCCTCAGGCTTCCTCTTGGCTGCTTTTTACATAATAAATTGTTAGAGGCGGTTTTTCTTCTGGTGGCAGACGACAGAACCAAGAGACCGAGTGTAAAACACTCAAATAAAGGTTTTATTACAGCTATACAAAAACACAAAGCATGTGGGTGTTCTCTCTCTGCAGGCAAATTCAAACTGCAACTTCTCCCCTTTTATACTCATCACCACCACCATCATCATCTTCAGCCTAGAAAACCACAGCCAGAACTCGCAGAAAAAGTTCTTAAAGTTACAATCATCTTTTCTGTTTCTTTGCAGAATGACTCCTAACATAAACAACCACCAATTCATGCCATGCCTACTTTGGACCTGAGAATTAAGAAGAAAACCTCCCAAGAAGAATCCACAGCTATTTCTCCACATCAAGATCCAGGGATCTCCTACCTTGTACTCCTGGAAAGCCTCCTTCAGAGGAATCATCTCGTGGTGTTTGTGCGCCTTGGATCTGTGACACACCAGGCAGATGGGGGCTTCATGGACTTTGCAGAAGAGCTTCAGGGGCTTCTGGTGCTTCTCACAGACTCCTCCTTTCCCTCCTTCCTCCTTTCCCTCTTGAAGGCTGAGATTCTGGGCTATTTCTGCCACATTAGCCAGTTGCCGGTTGGGGATGAGGCTCCTTCTCTGGACTCTTTTTCTGCACTGAGGGCAGGAAGCCTCTGCCTCCGATTTCCCCCAGCACTGGATCAGGCAGGATCGGCAGAAGTTGTGCCCACACTCTGCGATGATCACTGGATCCTTAAAATATTCCAGGCAGATGGAGCAAGTGGCTTCATCGTGGAGACGCTGGACGGGATCCCCAGCAGCAGCCATGGCTCCTTCGCTCTGAAGACCAGAGTTAAGTTTCGTTTTCTCAGTTTTCAGCTACTGGGAGTTTCCCTTCCTGGAAATGACTCAAAAACTCAGTAACCACGTGATCTTTTTCTTTCTCCTGCTGCGCTCTGCTGCCCAGGAGGACTCTCCTGTGTGGGTGTCTGAGGGCCCTGCTCCTTCCTGCCACTTACCACCTGGCCCAGTGCGGGGCCTGAAGCCTCATAAGGACTGCTGTGCTCTGCTGCCCAGGAGGACTCTCCTGTGAGAGTGTCTGAGGGCCCTGCTCTTGCCGCTTACCACCTACCTGGCCCAGGGCAGGGCCTGAAGCCTCATAGGGACTGCTGCGCTCTGCTGCCCAGGAGGACTCTCCTGTGTGAGTGTCTGAGGGCCCTGCTCTTGCCGCTTACCATCTACCTGGCCCGAGGTGGGGCCTGAAGCCTCATAAGGACTGCTGCGCTCTGCTGCCCAGGAGGACTCTCCTGTGTGAGTGTCTGAGGGCCCTGCTCCTTCCTGCCACTTACCACCTGGCCCGGGGCAGGGCCTGACGGGCCTCACTAGGACAGTTGCTGTTACTGCTGGAGGGGTGCAGAGTGCTTTTAAAATGTTTTTTAAAATTTCTTTTGAATTTTTTGTATGTGGGGGGGTGGGATGGATGTTTATTGGGCCTGGGAATTTGTTTGATTTTATGCTTTTGTTATTTTTTTTGTTTTTTGTTTGTATTGTTTTATTTGTGTTTTTTTAAAGGTGTTATTTTGTTCTTATGGGGAGGGGTCAGGGCTGCTGGGGAGTAGGTCCCAGCCAACAAAATGGCTGGGGCATGTTCCACGGGGGGGGGATGCACTGGGACAACCGATCTCGGTGATCACGGGTAGGAGGAGGAGTTACGCTAAGACCAGACCACGTCATTACAGAGGAGGCAGGTTTAGTCGTTGTCTGAGGACTATCCCTGCCTCCGGGTCTGGTCCTGACCGGATGGATACTAGAATCAGCAAGGGATACCCACACGACCTGAAGGTGCTGCTGTGCAATGCCAGGTCAATGATTCATAAGACCACTGCCATCCATGACGTGATCGTGGATGGAGGACTTGACCTGGCATGTGTAACAGAGACTTGGTTGGATGAAGCAGATGGGCCTGTCCTTGCCGCTGCTTGTCCACCAGGTTTCTCTTACGCACAGCAACCCAGGTCATGTGGGCGGGGAGGGGGGGTTGCAGTGATTTTTAGGAAGTCATTAGTTTGCACCAGGCATCCTATTGGGAAGACCCAGTTTTCCGAGTGCATGTTCTGGAAGTTGGGCAATAGGGGCAGTACAGGATTCCTTTTGGTGTACCGACCTCCCCGCTGCACCAAGGATTCCCTGCCCGAGCTGCTTCAGGTTGTGGCGGATGTTCTCCTGGAGACACCTAGCTTGGTTGTCCTAGGGGATTTTAACATCCATGCCGACACGACCTTACAAGGGGCCGCTCAGGACTTCGTGGAAAGCATGGCCTCCATGGGGCTGTCCCTGAATAAGTCTGGCCCAACCCATAGCCGCGGACATGCCTTGGACCTGGTGTTTACCTCTATGGATGTTGGTGATCTGACACTAAGTAAAAGCGAAACGAAAGAAGTGCCATGGTCAGATCACTTCCTGGTGCAACTGGACTTCTCTGCGACCCTTCCTCTCTGCAGGGAGGTGGGACCGATTCGGATGGTCCGCCCCGCCACTTAATGGATCCAAATGGTTTCCAGAGAGTGGTAGAGGATGCTTTATCCCATGTTGATGGCCTTTCAGCCGATTCCCTGGTGGCCCGCTGGAATGTGGAGTTAACCAGGGCTATTGACTGTTTGGCTCCGAAGCGCCCTCTCCGATTGCATGGAGCCCGGACAGCCCCGTGGTTTTCCACGGATCTGAGGGCAATGAAACAATCATTGAGACGGCTAGAGCGCCGGTGGCAGATAACTCATTCTGAATCTTACCGGACACAGGTTAGAGCTCAACGTCGAGCCTACCAAGTGGTGATAGCGACGGCGAAGAAGACTTTCTTCGCTGCCTCTATTGCATCTGCAGAAAACAGCAGCAGGAGACTTTTTCAGGTGGTTCACAATTTAGCGGAACCACCTGCGACATCGGGGCCCAGTACGGGCCACATGATCTCCTGCAATGATTTTGCAATGTTTTTTGCAGATAAAATCACTCAGATTCGGGAAGAAGTAGACTCCACCGTGGGAGCAGGGCCAGGGCGGGAGAGTGCTAGAGTCCTGTCTAGTCAAGTTGTGTGGGATCAATTCCAATCTGTTACCTCCGAGGATGTGGACAGGCTGCTTGGACGAGTGAAGCCAACCACCTGTCTCCTGGATCCTTGCCCATCCTGGCTTATAAAAGCTAGCCGGGAAGGACTGGGCGATGGGCTTCGTGGGGTGGTGAAGGCTTCCCTCCGTGAGGGAGCCTTCCCAGACCCGCTGAAAGAGGCGGTTATTAAACCGCTTCTTAAAAAAACATCTTTAGATGCGGCCACGATGGCCAACTATCGCCGTGTCTCAAATCTTCCATTCTTGGGCAAGGTGACTGAGCGAGTGGTTGCTGAACAACTCCAGGCACGCCTGGAAGAAGCGGACCATTTGGATCCCTTCCAGTCGGGATTCAGGCCTCATCATGGGACTGAAACTGCCTTGGTCGCACTGGTTGATGATCTCCGGCGGGCTAGGGACAAAGGTGAGAGCTGTTTCCTAGTTCTGCTGGATCTCTCAGCGGCGTTTGATACCATCGACCATAACATCCTTCTGGACCGTCTTGAGGGGCTGGGAGCTGGGGGCACTGTTATACAGTGGTTCCGCTCCTTCCTCCTGGGCCGTGTTCAGAAAGTGGTGGTGGGGGATGAGTGTTCAGACCCCTGGGCTCTCACTTGTGGGGTGCCTCAGGGTTCTGTCCTCTCCCCCATGCTTTTCAACATTTACATGCAGCCACTGGGAGAGATCATCAGGAGGTTTGGGCTGGGTGTTCATCAGTATGCGGATGATACCCAGCTCTACCTCTCCTTTAAATCAGAACCAGTGAAGGTGGTGAAGGTCCTGTGTGAGTGTCTGGAAGCGGTTGGAGGATGGATGGCGGCTAACAGATTGAGGTTGAATCCTGACAAGACAGAAGTACTGTTTTGGGGGGACAGGAGGCGGGCAGGTGTGGAGGATTCCCTGGTCCTGAATGGGGTAACTGTGCCCCTGAAGGACCAGGTGCGCAGCCTGGGAGTCATTTTGGACTCACAGCTGTCCATGGAGGCACAGGTCAAATCTGTATCCAGGGCAGCTGTTTACCAGCTCCACCTGGTACGTAGGCTGAGACCCTATCTGCCTGCAGACTGTCTCGCCAGAGTGGTACATGCTCTGGTTATCTCCCGCTTGGACTACTGCAATGCGCTCTACGTGGGGCTACCTTTGAAGGTGACCCGAAAACTACAACTAATCCAGAATGCGGCAGCTAGACTGGTGACTGGGAGCGGCCGCCGAGACCATATAACACCGGACTTGAAAGACCTACATTGGCTCCCAGTACGTTCCTGAGCACAATTCAAAGTGTTGGTGCTGACCTTTAAAGTCCTAAACGGCCTCGGTCCAGTATATCTGAAGGAGCGTCTCCTCCCCCATCGTTCTGCCCGGACACTGAGGTCCAGCTCCGAGGGCCTTCCTGGCGGTTCCCTCACTGCGAGAGGCCAAGTTACAGGGAACAAGGCAGAGGGCCTTCTCGGTAGTGGTGCCCGCCCTGTGGAACGCCCTCCCATCAGATGTCAAAGCGATAAACATCTACCTGACATTCAGAAGACATCTGAAGGCAGCCCTGTTCAGGGAAGTTTTTAATATGTGACATTTTATGTATCTTTCATCTTTGTTGGAAGCCGCCCAGAGTGGCTGGGGAAACCCAGCCAGATGGGCGGGGTACAAATAATAATATTATTATTATTATTATTATTATTATTATTATTATTACTAATGTCCCCAGGTCTTTGCATTTGCTGAATGTTTTCTCAAGTAGCAGCGAATGCTCCTTGATTGCTTCCCATGCTTTTGATTACACACAAACACAGACGTACCTAGTAAGTTGTGGTATTCATAACATTTTAATTAAGATGCTTCATTTTGGCTAGGTTGTGTCCCATAAACAATAAAAATGTGGGTTCCCTATCGGTAGGAGAAAATAACAGAGGCCAACCAGAGAATATTGAGAAGCAAAGCAGCTAGTAAGCCTGATCTTTATTAAAGCTGTTGCAACAGGGTGCTTCCCTCACATACAGGAGGACGGGGGAGGACCCAGAACAAAGGTGTGCTTGCCCTTATATAGACATTTTTTATTCCCTGCCCCGGAGCTCAAGACCACCCCCCACAAACCTCATACCTACATCACAGAACAGGTGGTCTACAACAGAAATTTGAATGTTGTTGTTTTTCCTGTCTGCCAGGTTTTCTGATATTGCCTTATCTGTTTGCCTTTCCTGGTAGTCTGCCCATTCCTTTGAGATGGTGATTACCCAGTTCCTGAGACAATGGGAAGGTTCCCTCACCCCCTCCCTCCTTGCAGGGAAAACATTTGGTCAGTTTGGGAGTCAAAATTGTTTCAGGACGGTCCTCCCGTGCTGCTGCAGACATGTAGTCCACACACCCATGTATGTGCCTGGTTGGTACATTTATGAACATTTATTATATTTATAAGACCTTATTTTTTTATTACACTGCAATCACAGCAGCAGACAATGGAGAGACACTCCATTGTCTCTCAAGACAGACAGATGCTGACAACAAGATCCATAGGTTCTTAATTTGTTGGCCCATTATGGCCTCCAGGCAACCAGATCAGCTCATTACATACATCATATTATATATTTTTATTATCTAGGTTGTTCAACAAAATTTAAATACTGCTTAATTGACAGAAAGAAAAAGTCTCTAGGCAGTTTACATAAAATATCTGTAAGAGGGAAGCAAAAAAACCCAACAGACTTAAAAGAATTATAATATTATCTATAGAATAAGAGAGCAGTAAGAACATACATTCATAAAGAAGACTGGAAAATGTTTATTGAGTATATGGAAAATAGTTGCGTACAGCAGCATTAAGATAAATTCAGCAGAGTAAATGATTCTTTATGGATATAGTAGTGGAAAATTGAT